CTCCCCAGTACAGCCCCGGATTCATCTATTCGCTGGCTGGTGACCCAAGAGGTTGCTATGGTAACAAACAAAGTTCCTTTATCCGAGACTCACATTTGCATTATTGTTTGATAGTGGCTGTTTGGTGCCTTTTGTTGGGCTTAATGTGAAGAATCACCGGATGACTGAGAGGCTGCGACGCAGCACAAGAGGAACAGATTTCACGGCGCCTCACTCGGAGGAAATTTGCCGTTTACTCCCTGTTCGTTGTACGCGCACATGTGTAATCTGCCTCATTGCGACCAGAGCGGCACCCATGGAGTGATGGCGACCGGGCCAGTCGTGGGTGGCGGTCCTCCCCGGAGTCACTCACAGGCAGAGGTGCCACTAGAGATTCTGCGTCCCATGAACGCATATCACCAAACCAGAAAAATCCAATTATGCTCCAAATTTTAATGGACCCTGTCATTCCAGGCCCCTGGAATCATCGTAACCCACCCCCCCACCACCACCTTTACTTACAGAACAAGCCCTAACCTCCCATCATGGGAGGAGGCACCTGGCTGACTGTAACACGTGCACACACACACACACACACACGTTGGTCTACCTATCTAAATGGGGACCGTCCATTCAATTCTATGGGAAAACCCGCAATCCCATTCACAACACCCTTAACCTCTAACCATCCCTAACCTTAACCATAAGTAACCAACCCAAATACAAGACTTTTGGCATTTTTACTTTTTTGATTGCATTCACAGATTTTTATAAAACTTTATCCAAATAGATTATCCAAATGGAGACCTCAAAAGATGTCCCCAAAAGTAGGGAAATTTCAGGTTTTACTACACTTTGGGGACAATTTGGTCCTCAAATGTGATCTATGAAACCGCCCCCCCCCCCCCACACACACACACGTAGTCTCGCACTCATCAATTGGCTGCCACATGCATGAAAAACAAAACAGGGGCTTTTAGATTTCAGAGACCTACACCAAAGAACAACAGAAATAAATTTCACCTCATTTACTAATGAGATTACTCAAGTCTATTTTAACGATGCAAAAAAGGTGCCCTTTAAGCTTAAAAAAAAGAAATCTGCTTAAAGTAATCATGCCTTACAAAGGACAAATTCATTCCCTTTACAGCACTCTTCGATTTAAATTAATTTACAGTCACTCAATTAGTCCTACATTTAGATCAGGCGCAGTCAGATAATTAAATCACGGCAGACCTCATTAGGAAAATACACAGCCTAAATAACGAGAATTATTAGAAACAGACAAACGAGCCAGGTATTTTGAAGGCTTTAAATGAGGTGTGAATATCAGAGCGGTGTTTACAGAGGTGCGGCAAAATGTCAGCTAAGAGTTAGCGAATGTTGCATTCCGGGAAGTGGATCATTCCGGAAACAGACAGAGCGAGGTGAACGAGATACGGAGAAACGGGGATCTATTAGAAGGTCTCTGGACAGGAGGGAGTGAGACAAAGAAATTCTTACAGGCGATAAAGACTAACACAAGGTAAACTATCCATGTTGATCTGCTCCATCTGAGAGTAACAAAGGCATTCTGGGTAAATATCGGCAAGCAGGAGCAAGCCAAGAGCGCTTGGCAGAGGTGATGGGGAGTTTAAACACAGTGTACAATCCATTACTCAGTCCCCTCTGCCGAGCTACAGGGTGGGTCAAACACACTCCGGCAGCAGATCCCAGCTCACGCCTCCGCAGGCCGGTTGCAGAAATCCGATCCCCCTTCCCTGAAAGGACCTGGGAAAAGCGCGCAGCAAGGCACAATTCTGCTCTAAGAGCAAGACGTTAAGTGTGAGGCAACGGCTCCGGGTTTACGCAGGGGAGAGAGAATGTGGTGGAGGCTTGGCATGCATAGCTCCTGGCGGCTCCCCCCCCTGTGGCCTGTGGCCTGCCCCCACCAGCACAAACGGTCAGCAGCCACTGTGGCTGCGGCCCTACTGGGACCGAGCAGAGCAGCGCCATAGCGGGCGGGACTTAAGGACAGCGTCACTTATCTCATGTCACAGGCGTCTGGGACGGTACCAAGTGCCCGGCGACCACCCGGATAGCAACGTGAGACGCTCCACGACCTAAAGCCATGCCACTGGCGCCGCCACTCGAGCCAGACGAGGCGAAACCTGAAGCCATACGCGAGGTGCTGTCACTGCTCGTCAGGCAGGCCCTGGGGGGCACGTCTCTGCCGTGGGGATGGGGGTGTCTCTGCCTCTCACGAGAATCGGCTCCGACCTGAGATCCATAATTACCCAAGAATATGCGTTGAAAAAGGCCAGAGCCTGGTGCTGCCACAGGGATGAGACCCTTGGAGGGGTGGGGGGTGGGGGGGGGGGCGCTCTGTGAAGGAAGAAGGGGAGGGGAGGAAAAGAGCCGAGACGAGGACAAAAGGCAGCCATACCTGTGATTTTGTAACAAACACCACAAGAATGCCATATTTTGGCAGTAGTAGCACATGTCCAACAAAATAACCTAACATTATATATCTACAATCAAATATCCAAGACCGACACATGTCCATGAACTCTACTGGAGGAGGTGGGGGCTGTCATATTTTAAAGGGAGGGGGCCCAATGGTTTGTTGCCGCTCCCTCGACTTATTGTGGTGGAGAAGGACACATCCACTCCACTGCCGGAGGGTCCCACTGTTTCTGACTGGCTCCCACTGGTCCTGGTGGCATCACGGAGACCGCGTCCAAGAGCCCCATGCCTGATGTCGCTCAGCAGCACATCTAACAGACAGCTATCACCACTGGCAGGCAGGGGGTTGTGGCTCGGACCTGCTGCACTCAGAAAATGCATCCTAAACACCATCCGGATTGTGAATCAACAGCCACTCCAGATCAGGGAACATTCTGGAAGGGTCCCTCACAGGGTATACAACACAATATTAAAAAAAATGCTTTTGGAAACCCCTAGGTACAAACTCCACACACAGATCAGGGACCGGGACTCAAACCCACAGGCGTTGTGGGTTTGCCCAAAAATTCCAGAGAAAGTTCTCACATCTTACTATGGCGGCTCGAAAGGAGAAGCGAGGGACCGGAGTGGTCTGCGGCAGCTCCGGGCCTGAACGTCGCCGTTAATCAATTGGGGTCACCACCACACACCAGCCCCAGTGAACATGGAGCTACTGATGAGGCCGGCAGAGAGATCTACCCCCGCCACATTAGCCCCTCATTTACGCGGCCGCTTTACCCTCCAGACAACAATCCAGCACATATTAGTCGTGGCGTATTTGTGTGTGATAACTGAGGCTGGGTGACATCTGTTCCTCAGCTGGCTGAGTGAATGTAGGCCTGTCAAAGCAGGGCGGAGGGGGGGGGGGGGGCGAATCTGATGAAATTTGGTGAAATAGGGGAGCCGGCAGATAGTTCAGACAGACGACGGCAGAGAAGGAAGCGGCGGGCGCGCAAGAGAGCGGCGTCCCGACCGGCAAGTAAATTGGCGTACTACAGTCACAGAAGACGCAAACGGAGAAAATGAGGTTTTCATGTGCTAATTACGCGCAGATACAGCTGTACTGCCACAAAAGCACCCAAAAGGTTCCTTATTTAAATACTGGGACATCAAAAAAAAAAACGAAGGAGACACACAGACAGACACAGAGACTTGAAAGGTTCCTTTCCAGTCCACCGCCACCATTAAAAAGCAGTTATTAGGCTCCGTCTCTCACACCCGTCAGACGTGGGGGAAGCCTGTCTCTTGGAGACCAGAGGAGCACCCCCCCGGGGGTGACGCAGCACGTCAGCGACCGGCCTTAGGGAGCGCGTGGCGCTTATCTGCCCTGTCATTAAAGTGATTATCGAACCCGCGCTGCCAGGGCGACCTGCGGCCATCTGTATGCGGCCCTGAGGGATCACCTTGGCCGGGATGCCGGGACTCGATCCCGGTGCTGACCCTCAGTGACCGGCCAGATCACACCAGCTCAGCTTTTCATGCACCATTAAGAATTCTCAAATGCTCTCATGGCACATAGCTGTCCAGGACTGCTTCCTGTCAGTCCTCCTGGGGGTAATATTCCACTTAAATACCCCCCCCATACATAATGATGACTTGTAGGTTCATTTATTTAGGGGGCGGGGCAGGTAATTCGCCAGGATTCATTAAATCTCTCTCTAAATGATGAATAATCGCATTGGCATTTACGAGGGCACCTGCCCCGGGCCTCCGGGGATATTCTCCAGAATCTCCGCAACACTGCTGGATAAGTAACTGGATGGATGGATGGATGGATGGATTTATGAAAGAGGACATATACGTTAGTGAGTGGTCTGGCATACAGGACGGTGCCATCTGCCCCAGTGCCATTCATACAGGGCCCAGTTCCTTGATCTCATGCAGCGATTTTGTTTTCCTCACATTCTAGACCCTTCACCCTTGGAGCAGCCGACTTCCAGGCATAAGCGGTAAACATGGCAGCCAGAAGCAGCTCGTTGGAGAGCCTCACCCAGACCAAGGCGCACCCTGACTCTCCCCTCTGCTCTCAACCAGTCAAGACTTGCCAGTAATGATCGTGATGACTATGCAGGACACACGTGCACACCCCTGGCAGGCAGGAGGCCCTGAGGCGCCCGACGTCTCGTGCGGAGGTGCTCACCACGCGCTGCGACGCTTCACGGGCGCTACAGCCTGCTCCTGTACCAGCTGTGTTCGCACTCTTCCTGCTGCCTGTATCCCAGAAAACATGCAACAACACAGCCTTACAAGTTACCTATTAAGGAGTGGAAAGGGGAGTAAGCACACAGGTCTCTTACTGCTATTATAGATTTTGAAGGTTTTAGGTTTTAATCCACAGTAAAAACTCAAGCTTCCAAAGGTTATTTTCTCCCAAAAATTCCATTTTAGTCTAATGCCTCCTGATAAATCCTTGATATGATTTAAAACCAGTCCGCACTACCTGCTTTCATGGCTGTTTCCCTAAGTAAGTATTACAGGAATAGTGACTAAAGCTGCCAGCTGAATTCACATGACGTATAGACAGTACGGCCTGGACTGAAGGATCCCCAAAACGACATTTATACAGTATAAACGAAAAAGAAAAGCCTGGATAAAAGAGCCCCTACAACTTCAACAGAGGAGGAAAAAATACAGAGCATTAAGGAGCCTCCATAGAGGCCACAGAGAGTCAATGTCCCCACAGCACTGTGACTCTGTAGTTGCAGAGGACTCCGAGAGTCAGTGTCACCCTCAGCACTATGACTCCCTAATTGCAGAGGACTTCGAGAGTCAGCGTCACCCTTGGCACTGTGACCCCCTCGTTGCAGGAGGCTCCGAGAGTCAGCATCACCCTCGCCACTATGACTCCCTAGTTGCACAGGGCTCCGAGAGTCAGCATCACTGTCGCCACTATGACTCCCTAGTTGCACAGGGCTCCGTGAGTCAGTATCACCATCAGCACCGATCCAGGGGGATGTGATAAGCACCATCTCACTTTATGAGGCAGACCCAGCCAAGCGATCCAGTCAAAACAATCACAGCACAACCAAAAGCATCATCCTCTCATACGCCACTGTGATTCCTTTGTCCTCCATCACCTTCTCTCACAACGTGTTAGGAAGATGGCCACCTGGCAAAGACAGATGGGAAAATAACAGCCAGGGGGAGAGAAAGGAAAGCAAATCAGACACTCGAGGATGAAGCAAACCTGACAACGGCTGTCTGGATGGCCCGCTAGCCGTGCTCTTCTCGACAGAGAGATGCCTCTCCCCAGAAACACAGCCCATCGAAAACGATCTTTCTCCACTGCCAAAACTGGGAACCTCAAACACAGAGCCAGCACGAAAACACCACCACGCGGCTAAATGAACCTGGGCGAGCCTTCATCGCAGAGTCCTTACCACTTTACACACTGCTCAGCTCTAGGAGGATAATTGCACTTCGAAAATTTACCAGGAGTGCTTTTTATAATCGAGAAGCCAGAGCTGCTAATATTCCCCCTCAAACCCCCGCACTTCCCCAGGATAACCTCTCTCCCTGCCGCCTTTACCGTTTCCAAACAACAACAGCAAATACTTTCTTTATCGAATACACTTCCGCTTATTGGCACCATTACGAAGTCGACCAACTGATTTGCTTGTTCACTTCTATGGAAGGAAGACTAGGAAAACTAGGAAAAAAAAGCAAGTGATTAGGATGGGTAGAAAACATCTGGGGAGAAAAGGGGGGATTAAGTTATTCTACAATGATTTGGTAAAATCTGAAATGCAGTGTGATAAACGGTCCGCCGTTTTCACGGTCGGTTAAAATCCCTGAAAGATGCGTGTGTTTATTTCACTAGTAATTGCTCATGGTATCATTAGCAATGCTCCAGATGTAAACTGAAATGAATGAGTGAAATTAAGCTGCCGTTTTTATTGTGGTAACTAAAGGCATGAAAAAGGACACACACAGCGAAATACCATCAGCGATCAGAGAGAGAGACGCACACAGCGAAATACCATCAGTGATCAGGGGGAGACACACACACACAGCGAAATACCATCAGCGATCAGCGACACACACAAACACAGCAAAATACCATGAGCGACACACACACACACACACACACACACACACACACACACACACACAAGCATAGAATAAAATACCATCTGCAACCAGTGACACACACACAGTAAAATACCATCTGCAACCAATGACACACACTGTGAAATACCATCAGGGATCAGCAACACACACTGTGAAATACCATCAGCGATCATCGACACACACAGCGAAATACCATCAGCGATCAGCGACGCACGCAGCAAAATACCATCAGTGATCAGTAATGCACACAGCGAAATACCACCAATGATCAGCAACGCACACAGCGAAATACCATCAGCGACGCACACAGTGAAATACCATCAGCGATCAGCGACGCACACAGCGAAATACCATCAGCGATCAGCGACGCACACAGCGAAATACCATCAGCGATCAGCGACGCACGCAACGAAATACCATCAGCGATCAGCGATGCACGCAGCGAAATACCATCAGCTATCAGCGACGCACACAGCGGAATACCATCAGCTATCAGCGACGCACGCAGCGAAATACCATCAGCTATCAGCGACGCACACAGCGAAATACCATCAGCGATCAAGCGACGCACACAGTGAAATACTATCAGCGATAAGCAACGCACACAGTGAAATACCATCAGTGACGCACACAGCGAAATATCATCAATGATCAGCAATGCACACAGTGAAATACCATAAGTGATCAGTAATGCACAAACCGGGAAATTACATCAGCAATCAGTGACACAAACAAACACACACACGCACAAAGCAAAATGCCACCACAGGTCAACAGTGCACAGGCATGCACACAGACACAAACACACACTTACAGCGAAGTACTATCACGATCAGCAGCATGCACACAAGCATGCATGCACATACACACACATTTTTATTCATATCTTTGTATGGACATAATCCTAATCCCAACAATGACAGCCTTAACTTCTGGCCATCCCTAACCTTAACCATAAGAAACCAAACAAAATACAAGACTTTTGGCATTTTTAGTTGTCTGATTTCAGTCACAGATTTTTTTTATAAAACTGAGATTCCCCTTTTGGGGACCAAAAAGGTGGTCCCCACAATGTTAACATGACAGGTTTTAATCACATTGTGGGGACCTCTCACCTAAACGGCCAATATAGCTCATATGGGCTATAATAAGCGGCAGAGGTACGGGAACATGGAGCATAGCAGCAGGGGTAGGGTAGTCTACTCAGGGCCTGATGTGGAAGACTCCAAGGGTGGAGCTGCAGGATGGAGACAGGAAGATACATCAGGTAAATGATGTAGCAGAGAGGATGCAGCAGACAGGGGATGGAGTAGAGAGAATACAGGAGATGGGGGTGGAGCCAAGCAAATACAGGAAACAGTGGGTGGAGCAGAGCAGGAATGCAGGGATGCAGGAAATAGGCTGGAGCACAAAGTATAGAGGAGAGGGGGCGGAGCAGAGCAGATACAGGAGACAGGGTGGAGAAGTGTGGATATAGGGGGCGAAGCAGAGGAGATACAGGAGACAGGGTGGAGAAGTGTGGATATAGGGGGCGGAGCAGAGCAGATACAGGAGACAGGGTGGAGAAGTGTGGATATAGGAGAGGGGGGCGGAGCAGAGCAGATACAGGAGACAGGGTGGAG